ATGAAAGAAATTGAAGAAGATACAAATAATGGAAAGATAGCTCATGGATTGGTAGAAGTAGTATTGCTAAAGTGTTTATACTACCCAAAACCATCTATAGATTTAATGCAATCTCTTAAAAAAAAATTCCAATGGCATTTTCCACAGAAATTAAAAAAAAAAATCCTAAAGTTTGAATGGAACCACAAAAGATCCAAAATAGCCAAAGCAATCCTGAAAACAAAGAACAAAGCTGGATACATCACACTTCCTGATTTCAAACTTCAAAGTTACAGGAATTAAAACAATATAGTACTGGCATAAAAAGACACATGGGCCAATGGAGCAGAATAGACAGCCCAGAAATAAACCCCTACAAAAAGGGTCAATTAATATTTGACAAGAGAGTCTAGAATACACAAAAGGAAAAGAACAGTCTCTTCAAATGCTTTTTATTTTATTTTATTATTATTTTTTAATGTATTTTATTTTTTTTTAATATGATTTTTTGCAGAGAGAAAGGGTGAAGATAGAGAGCTAGAAACATCGACCAGCTGCCTCTTGCACACCCCCTACTGGGGATGTGCCCACAACCAATGTACATGCCCTTGACCAGAATGGAACCCGGGACCCTTCAGTCCACAGGCCGACGCTCTATCCACTGAGCCAAACGGGTTTTGGCAAGAACAGTCTCTTCAATAAATGGTGCTGGGAAAAGTGGATAACCACATGCAGAAAACTGAAACTGGACTCTATCTCACACCACTCACAAAAACTAACTCAAAACAGATTAAAGATTTAAACATAAGATACCATAAAACTCCTAGAAGAAAACATAGGAAAAAAGCTCACTGACATTGGTCTTGGCAATGATTTCTTGAATATGTCACCAAAAGTATAAGTAACAAAAACAAAACTCAACAAGTGGGATTACATTAAACTAAACAGCTCCTACACAGCAAAAGTAAACAATAAAATTAAAAGGCAACTGATAAAATAGGAGAAAATATTTGCAAAACACATGGGATAAGGGGTTAATATTTGAAATAAATAAAGATCTCACACAAGTCAATAATGAAATACCAAACAATCCAATTAAAAAAATGGGCCTAGAAGCCAAATATATTTTTCCAAAGAAGGCATCCAAATGGCCAATGGAAACATAAAAAGATGCTCAACATAATCAATCATCAGGAAAATGCAATTCAAAACCACAATGCAATATTACCTCATACCTGTTAGAATGCTCATTATCAAAAAGACAAGGGGTAAATGTTGGCCAGGATGTAAATAAAAGGGAACTTTTGTGCACTGTCTGAGGTATTACAAATTGGTATAGCCACTATGAAAAACAGTATGGAGGTCCCACATAAAATTAAGAATACAACTATCATTTAATCCAGCAATCACCACTCTGGGTATATCCATGGGCTGTATTCTAACAGCAGGTAACTTGCCCCACCCAGGGAGGCATATGCACAAGAACTTTAGTATTGAACCAGGAGATATGCAAAGTCTTGGGAGCCCTGTGCAACCCTGGGCCCTGGAATAGAAACCAAGGCTTTTTTGTAGACTTGTCCCCGATTCCTGAAAATATGACTCAGGCCTCCTTGCCTTGGGCTGCCTTAGTGTACTACTGCCCCAACTACTGGGGGCTTTGTGGACAATGGCAGTGGCAATAGCCCAATCTCCCAAGACCAGGGGCCGTGGATTTGAAGCAGACTCCCATCCTGTGGCCCACCTATCAACTAGTATGGTCCAATTTAGCTGCAGTTGGCCTGCCTTCTGTTTCTGTCCCATCTGTCTGGCATCTCAGCCTCACCCCTGAGATGTATATCTAGAGTCTTTTAAAAGGCCAATGGAGACATTGTCAATATCTCCTGATCAGCTATTTCAAATTTCCCCTTCAGTATCATCACTGTTCATTTTTCCTGGCAATTTTCTCTTTCCATGATCTGTGTTTGTAAAATGTTATGAGGTCTCTATCACTGGGGGATAAGGAGTCAACAGAACTGTGCACTTGATTATCTGAACTGAATGTGCCAGAGCCAATCACCAACAGACTTAGAAACTTGTGACATGATTGGTCACAACCCACATTTGATATTTACATAATACTTTCTAGACTAAGGACCTAGCAGTGAAATTTGCACTTCATGCAATTAGAGTTAGCATACCACTAAAATTCAGACCTCTTTGCTGGGGAACTGGTGTTATGTAGCTAAATTATGGTAACTGAATTATCTGCACATCAGAACCAAGCAAACTGAGGACTGCTATATACTAAAGCATTGTCTAGGCACATTTGAAACTTGATATTTACATATCCTGGGGGTGAAATAAAAAATGACTTCATGTATTAACCAAGTAAAGTATAAAACAGTGGAGACATAGCCGTGGTGGGGAAGGTCCCTGGGCCGTATAAGGCCTTTGAAAATTATCTGGCCTGGCCCTGACAAGGCATTAGGGATGAGTTAATTAAATGTTTGACCAAATATAGCAGGCTAATTTTTAAGTTGATAATTTTGTATGGCCCTCGAATGATTTAATAAATATCCCAATGGCCCTTGGCAGGAAAAAATAAAGGGTAGATATTGCAAGAAATAAATAAAGAGGGTAGATATTGCAAGAAATAAATATGCCATCTCAGGCAAGATGCCCAGGATCTGTATGGGGATAGTGACAATACCTACCATATGGGTTCATAATAGATTAATAATTAATGCAAGAGGATGAGAATAGTACTTAGCACATCAAATGCATCTCAAACACTAGCTGCTATTATTACTAAATGAAGAGCAAATACAAGATGGTGTATTTGAGAGGCCATGTAGAAAAGCCTCTCATATTTTCTTTTCCCTCAATGCTAGATTTTCTGCCACCTCTTTAAGAATATTGGCAAATTTGTGACTGAGGTGGTAGGGAATTGTTTGAGCAGTGGTGGAGAGATGGACAATTGTTTCTCTCAATGTCACCTTTAGTCCTGACCACCATAGAATGCCATTACCTAGAAAGGGTTATTCTATTCTAATCTGGGCTCAAAAAGAGGAGAAAGATAAAAGAAGGAAGAAGAGAATGAAGCAGAAGAAAACGGAGAACAGGAAACTTTCATAGATGAAGAAAAAGATGTGTTCTAGAGAAAATAATAACTACACCAAAACAAAACCCTGACATTACAGTAAAAAACAAATAGGGAATTTTTATGTTTCCTTCCAAGAACTATAGTCAATGCAATCCTTATAAAGTATTACTCTTTTGAGAGAGTGATTCAAAACTGAGGCCAACACATCTAATAATGAAGATTACAAATAGGCATCTGGATTTTCTTAGAAATAAAATAGATAAAATGATTCCTGGTTTTATAAATCATTACATTTGCAATTATTTACATAGTTTTAATATTCCTCTAATAGGGTCACTGATGAAATTATTCTTTAAAAAAAAGTATTCCCATCAAAGTAATCTACTTAACATTGGTTTCCTGTGCCCTTTATTAGTAAGCCGAAGATTTCAGGAGGACAATTTCCTTCAGCACTTGATTTTTATCTACATCCGTTTTGTTGATCTTGGCTATAGTTCTAGTGAAACTTTCACCAATACTCACAAGGCAGCCACACTTTCCCTGTGGCAATTAGCAGCCAAACACTACCTTATAAGTTTTGTGTCACAACCCAAGTTAAAAGTTCCTCCTTCCCAGCCAAGGGATCTGCCCTCACCTTGGGTTAAGTCCCAAAGAACAACCTGAAGAACGACATTGTCGAAACCTACCACTTGCCTGCTCCTCTGGGTGGCTGAGTCATGGCCTACATGGCGAGGCCTTCTTTACTAAGTCCAGGTCTTCCTTAGGCCTCCAGCTCCATGAACCAGCAATGTAGCAAGAGTGAGATTTTTCAATCAGATGGGGGTATTTTATGATAGAATCGGAAAAATCTGACCGTACAAACACAATCATTTGGTAGCACTCAGTTGAATGCACAATATATACATTAGAGCTAGAAGGAGCCATTCTGTCATTTAACTGATACTAACACCGATGCCCAGAGAGGTTGCAAAGTTAGTGGGTTAGAATACCAGGTCTAAAAGCACCTCTTCAGAGTCCCAGACAAATGCTCTTTCCTGTTCATTTCATAGCTTGTTTCTCTTTGTCATTTCCCTTTTTTATTTCATGATATACTTTGTTACACAACCACAATCGAATTTAATATAATAGATTCTACCAAATGGAGTAGTCTGCCCCAAATGCTCATTTTAAAATATTTTCAGACTATCCTCATGAGCAAAAAAGTATTTTTAGCTAAACATAAGAATGCATGGAAATGATCTGAGACCAACAACCTATCATATAAGAGAAGGGTCTTATAAGATGTGGTGAACTGCTGGGTAAGTTTGTCCCACAAGCACAGTTGAGCTTATGAACTGAAAACATCCCAGTTTTACTTGCCTCAAGCTGGTTATATGCGCTGTCTATGCCATCTGGATGCATCATAAGCGTGTGGTAATTTTTACAATAAACACAGGGTAACTGTAATGTTATCAAGAAGCAGAATGACAGTGCAAAAAATAGAAAATAGGGTCAAGACTTGAAATATATTCTCATTCTTAAAAGTTGAGACATTCCAATAAATTATTGCTATCTGACATTAGTGACTGAACATGAAAAGTGAAATAAAGAAATGAGGTCATTTCCTCAAGAGATCATCAGGTACACATCACACACACACACACACACACACACACACACACACACACACACAGACACACATGTTCACTTGGGGCCAGTTTGCTGGACTGGGAGTTCCATCCATGCAGGGAGCATGTGACAGCCTAGGAGGGCAGCAGTGTTCGGTTTGATAAGCTCCACCTGCACTTTGCTCTTATTCACCTTGCTGCCCTCAGAGGAAGGAGTTACACTGATAATAATATTGCCACCATCAAATAGAAACTTTTCCTTTCTACTATCAAAACAAGAAAAATACAATCTTTCTTTACCTTTACTTATCAATAATGATATAATTTATTACCTTCAAAGTCCACATCTCCAACTAATTTTATCTTTTCTGTTACTGGGTCCTGGACATAGTTGATACCCACATCAATTACAGCAGCACCTTCTTTAATCATGTCAGATGTGATCAACTTTGGAATACCTAGAAGCAAAACAGAGTTGTAAAACACTCTAGAAAAGACTTAAAATTGGTGATGAGTACAAAAAAGATTTACACATGTTGCCATGGCTTTTAAAAAAAATACACAATAAAAACTCTTCCTAAAACAACAACAAAAACTGTTCCTAACTTGATCATTTCTGACCAAGCAGAAGAAATGTGAGCTTCTGTGGATAACGCCCTGCCAGGATTTACCCTGTCACCTTTAAGAATGTCTATTAGACTTCTTTAAATGAGACCTGTTTGAGCAGCCTTCTTTAGTATTTCATGTACTATTAATGGCTTGGGGAGAATATGGAGATGAATGAGGATCCTTCTGAGGTTTAGTGGAGTGAAAACAACTTGGAAATTGGAGGCAGACAAAGGGAAGAAGGGGAGGGAGGGAGGGAGGAAAAGTATAAAAAACAATGATGACAATAGTTCATATTCCTCAGGGTTATGGTTAACTGTAAAGTGCCATACACATACTCCAAATATGAAATGCTCTCTTGAGCTCTCTTTTTATTTGTTATTGGTTTCTCTGATTAATTATAGATGTCTCCATTCCAGTTTGAAAGATAGTTTTATAGATATCTTATGTCACCATCTGTTTTCTATATTTTCAATTTTATCTCAAGTACAATATCAGCAAATGGCTAATGTTCTAGTTTTGTTTTTGTTTGTTTTTTGATTAGTAGTCAACAAACCATTTCCAAACTCAGTGTCTTAAAACAGCAATTTATTATGTTTCATGGTTCTGGGGGCTGACTGAGCTCAACTGGATGGACCTTCCTGGGGGTCTTTCAGATAATTGGAGTCACCGTGGCTGAGGCTGGAGTCACCTGAGGATGTGACTGGCTGATTTCCAAGGAGGCTCATTCACATGTCTACAGTTGATGCTCACAATTGGCTGAGCTCAGCTGGAGTTGTCATTTGGGACAATAGGTATGACTACTCCATGTGGCTTAGGCTTCTCTCAGCCTGGCAGGTGGTTTCCTGGAATGAGTTTTCCAAGAATCAGGAAGTAGAAGCTGCCAGTCATTTAAGGCTGAAATTTGGAAACTGACACAGTGTCACTTCTGCTATATTCTTCTCTATAGAATCCAGTTAGATTTAAGAGAAAGGGTAGAGACTCCACTTCTTAGTGGGAGGAGAATCAGAGAATTTGTGGTCAACTTTACCATAATGCCTCTGGTGGGCATCGTGTCTGGTAGGTGACTTACTAACCTTCGCATTCTACATCTTTTGCAGGAAAAGAGCTACCTGTTGTGTTTTCAGAGGCTTTATATTAGTATCTGAATGTATTCATTTAAGTATTCCAAATGGCTTAAATGTAACCTTATGACATATGATTTTCAGGGTTAGTAAGAATGTAAAGGCTATAAAGAAATAGTGTCAAAATAGATATAGTTATCTCATAGGTCCCTCAGTCACATAATGATATAACCAATGAAGCATCAATGGAGATATTTTTCTCCTGCTTTCCCATTCTGTCCCAAAGACCTCTCCCTTTTTATTTTTTCTAAAATAGAAATTTAGTATTAATCCAAGATAATAGTAAAGACCTGTTTCTTCTTGGCATTCAATAGAAAAAGAAAATATACATTCATATTACTACAGGAAATATTTTTAAGATGAAAATGTTGATGAAATATTTATTAAAATCTGCTACTATGCTTTTGAAATACTTACTAAATTCTAGCTACTCACCTTCCCAATTGTAACTGTTCATAATAATTTTTCAGAAAATATCAGATTAGCAATGGACAAATGCACAATTTCAAAGTAGTGGAAATCTGAGCTTGATTTTAATTCCCAGGAAAATTACAAAATACAATAAAACTTAAATGTATGTTTATTTTTTATTGATATAATATTATATACATTTATTGTGGAAAATATCTAAAAATTTTAGCATAAGAATAAAAATCCATATAATCTTGCCATGCCTTTGGCATTTATTACAAAAATGTAATAAATACATTTTTATTGCATTTCTTTCTTGAGTTTCAAAATATGTCTGTAATTTTGTTTATATTGTGTTTCACTATATATCTTAACACTTTTTCTTTCTTTTTTTTAATATATTTTATTGATTTTGTACAGAGAGGAAGGGAGAGGGATAGAGAGTTAGAAACATCGATGGGAGAGAGTCATCGATCAGCTGCCTCTTGCACACCCCCTACTGGGGATGTGCCCGCAACCAAGGTACATGCCCTTGACCGGAATCGAATACAAGACCCGTCAGTCCCCAAACCGACACTCTATCCATTGAGCCAAACTGGTTTTGGCTATGTTAACACTTTTTCATTAAAATTAAATTGTGAGCATTTTTCCATTTCATCAATTATTTAAAATTTAAAAACCACATGAAATAACTTATAATGAGGATTACCATGTTAAATTATTCAGTCTTGCATTTGTTCCAATATTTTGTTTTATAAATAATGCAGTGATTAATCATTTATGTTCAGGAAACTACAGATGATTTCTTAATTGAAGCATCAAATTGGAACCCTTATTAACAGCATGGAAAAACATGGATTGGATGAAAACTCTTTTTTTTTTTTTAATGTATTATTTTATTGATTTTTTACAGAGAGAAAGGGAGAGGGATAGATTGTTAGGAACATCGGTGATGAGAGAGAAACATCATCGACCAGCTGCCTCCTGCACACTCCCTACTGAGAATGTGCCTGCAACCAATGTACATGCCCTTGACCAGAATAGAACCTGGGACCCTTCAGGCAGCAGGCCGACACTCCATCCATTGAGCCAAACTGGTTTCAGCAGATTGGATGAAAACTCTTATTGGTATAGTCATAGCTGTTTATATGACACTAGAGGCCTGCAGAGGTCTTCACTGCCCCACCTGCTTCCTTCCCTTCTCCATAGCCTCGCTTTGTTCCCTTCTACAGTGCTTGGCTTTCTTCTACGCTGTCTTCAGTCTTCACTCTGCACCTGGATAAGCAAATTCACCTCCATCTTGGTTGGGTTAATTTGCATATTTGCTCCTAATTGGCTAGTGGGTGTAGTTGAGGTATGGTCAATTTGCATGTTTCTCTTTTATTAGATAAGATTAGATAGGATATTCTAAACTGTTGATCAATGCATCAATAAGGTCCATTGAGGTATTCCATGAAAAGTGTTTGTCAGTGACATTTTCAAAATGTTTATAAAGAACTCTGAGGAACACATTGGCATGGTGATAGTTATTTTCCCCTTGTCTACCTTCAGGTTCATTTTCTACCCTTCTCTGACTACACTATGTAGAGCTGAGGCTGATCCTTACAGATGTCTTGTGTACTTCCTACCACGCTTGGGACCCTATCACAGCCATGAGAACAGGATCCAGCTGGTCTGTTGGAAGATTCTAATCCTGTGGAGGAGAGCTGAGTTGTCTCAGCTGAGACCAACCTAGACCAGTCAGCCTTCAGCCAATGTTTGAGTGCTCAGTAAAGATCAGAGGAACAAGCCAAAGTCACCATAACTGACCCACTAAACCACAGACTCATGAGAATTTTCTTTTAAATGTTATTGTTTATAGTGACTGCGTTGGTGTTTTTTTGGTGTGTGTATGTTTGTTTATTTGTTTTACAAAGCAGTAACTGCATAACCTACCTTCACATATGATACAAAACTGGATAGAATAATTTATAGGTAGCCACTTTGAAATAATGAACTATAGGTAGCATGAATTTGAAAGTAAATAAATATATAATTCTGAGGTGCTGTACTTGATTAAAGATCATTAAAAACTATCAGCCTATGATGCTAAGACAAATAACATCCAGATACAAGGAAGTAATGTTTTCCATTGTATTTTTAGCAGACTCTCTCTGGAAGAATTGGCTGTAATTGGAGAAGAATAATTAGGAAGGATCTAGAATTTATGTTATAAGAAGCAAATGCTATCAAATGAGTTAGCTCAACTAGTTATCTGCAACAATATAGAAAAGCTTGTGCCTCAATGCAAAGCAACTATATCATTAACCACAAATGCTTAGCACTATTTAATTAAGCTAGATTTATTTTTCCATAGCCAGACCTTTTCTTTTTTTAATATATTTTTATTGATTTTTTACAGAGAGGAAGAGAGAGGGATAGAGAGTTAGAAACATCTATGAGAGAGAATCATCCATCAGCTGCCTCTTGCACACCCCCTACTGGGGATATGCCCGCAACCAAGGTACATGCCCTTGACCAGAATCGAACCTGGGACCTTTCAGTCTGCAGGCCAATGCTCTATCCACTGAGTCAAACCAGTTTCGGCCATAGGATAAAAGGGAGAGATCAACCAAAGGACTTTTGTGTATACATATGAGCCGAACCAGTGGTCAAGAACAATAGGGGGTGGGGGCCGGAGTGGGGAAGGGTGGGGAACTGGAATGGGGGGTTGAGGACAAATAAGTGATACCTTAATCAATAAAAAAAAATTAAATAAATAAATAAATTTCTCTTTTGTCTAGTCATATTGAAAAAAAAATGTTTCTTCTCACAATTAATTCATTTCTGAACCCTTGTAGACTTCTGACTAAATAAAAGGTCCAACCAAAAAAAAAGAAAGATATTAAAAATTCACTTAAATGGCCGAAACTGGTTTGGCTCAGTGGATAGAGTGTCGGTCTGCGGACTGAAAGGTCCCAGGTTCGATTCCAGTCAAGGTCATGTACATTAGTTGTGGGCACATCCCCGGTAGGGGGTGTGCAGGAGGCAGCTGGTCGATGTTTCTCTCTCATCGAAATTTCTAGCTCTATATCCCTATCCCTTCCTCTCTGTGGAAAATCAATAATATATATATATTTTTAAATTCACTTAAATGATTGAAATTATGATAGTCATAAAATCTATTTTTATGTTAAATATTCTAAGTCATCCATTTACATTATTGTCTTGTAGAGGCAAATGATTGATATAGCTAGTTCCTAAAGTATACAAGTGTAATATATTTAAATCCTTATCACTTGATAATAGTGTAAGGGCATTAAAAGCTATTTAAATGT